GAAAATTTCTAGACAACACCACTGTGTTATCGATTAAACAAACTTATGTTTAAGTTTGTTAAAAAAATACTTTTTCTGTTAAAAAATTTCGAATAGCTAACATAGAAAAACCAAAAATGTTGTTACTTTTTTCTTAGTGTACCGTCGCTAAAGAAGCTATGATCCCGTTAGTATAGCGGATGGCTTAGGTATGGCTGAAATTGGTTCTTCAGATCCCATAGATGACTACTGAGGTGCCTGGGAGTAAGCTCGGATTTAAGTAATTGCCCGCAGAAGTGGACGCCACTAAAGCATCCCGTCAGCAAGCTGGGTTTGGGGCTCTGTATCTTGTTGACGACACCAGTTATATGCATATGTGCGCGGACAAGGAAAGCAAGTTGCCAGAAGTAAACCCCAAATTTATTTTTGAGTTATTTACGGTCAGAATTTTGGTGTCTCAAGTTCAGCTAGACTTTGTTCATCCAAGTAGGTAAAACGGTCCGGAGTTGATTGCGTGACGAAAGAATTGGGTTTCGCGGAGAGAGTCTGAGAGATAACCTTGTCTTGATGATCGAACAGTCAGCGGTGTTTGAGATCAAGCAACCGTCATCAAGTGGAGCAGGGAGTTTCAATATTAAAAATTAAACAGTAGTGGGGAGGAGACCCGTGGATACCCTATGGGATCGGTGATCCTATTAAGCGTTGTCTCTTTGAAAAGTCAATTTTATTATGGGGTCCGAGTTTCCGTAGATTCATTGTTGAAGCAATTTTGCCCAAACGTCGTGCCTCGTATTAATTGCCATGCAGCAGGCGATCTAACGGTATACTTGAACAAACATACATATGTACATACATACAGTATCGGTCATATCTATAGCACGCCATTTCAAAGTGATACTGTGTGCCACCTATGTTTATTTATTTATTTTTAAGAATTTTCAATTAAAATATAGTTCTTTCTCTAACAAAACCCATATAAACCCAAGTTTAACAATTTGTAGAAAACTTCTAAAAAGTGCAACAAATTTTCACCTAAGTTTCAAACTTTTTTCTCGGAAGTGTTAGAATTTTTCTGAATACACAGTTTTATAGCCCAATCAATTTTAGTCTGATAATGTGCAAGTTTCAAGTGGCTAAAGGTAACCGTTGATTTTTTAGAATTTTTTTCGCCAAAGATGTTGCGGTTTTCTTCAAATAAATTGAGTTTATTCATTATATGGAAGCCAATGCGACAAAAAAAAATTCTAAAAAATTAACGGTAATTAGTAGCCACTTGAAATTTGCACATTATCAGACTAAAATTGCAGGGGCTAAAAAACTGTGTACTCAAAAAAATTCTAACACTTCCGAGAAAAAAGTTTGAAATTTAGGTGAAATTTTGTTGCACTTTTTTGAAGTTTTCTACAAATTGTTAAACTTGGGTATATATGGGGTTTGTAGAGAATGAACCAAATTTTAATTGAAAATTCTTAAAAATTAATAAATAAATATAAGTGGCACACAATATCACTTTGAAATTGCGTGCTATAGATATGACCGATACTGTATGTAAATAGTTTTTAATGGGCGACACATTTTATTCATACATATTT